GCAGCAGCAGCAGCAGCAGCAGCAGCAGCAGCAGCAGCAGCAGCAGCAGCAGCAGCAGCAGGAGGAGAAAGGAATCTGTGTTGTCTTTGTGTGCGCCAGATAAAGAAGAATTTTTTAAGGGTTTGAGCTTACTGTCTCCTCCTGTCTCTGCTGCTTCTGTTTTATATAAAAAAGAAAAAGAAAAAAGACAAAAAGAAAGAAAAATATATAATAAATGGGTTCGTGCTGCTGCTGTGCTGCAGCAGCAACGCTTTCGTTTGTCTATGGCCATGTTTGCTGCTGAAGGAGACAGGCAGCAGCCGTGTGATCCCGTACTAGAGAAACAAGCAGCAGCAGCAGCAGCAGCAGCAGCAAGACAGCAGCAGCAGCAGCAGCTACACAAACAACACAGATGGTGGATCCCCAAAAGAACTATAAAAGCGAGAAGAGCGAGAAGAGCAGCAGCAGCAAAAGCTAAAAAAATGTTGCTGCTGCAGCAAGCAGCAGCAGATCGCAGGAAACGCAAACTGCAGCAGCAGCAGCAGCAGCAGCAGCAGCAGCAGCAACAGCAGCAGCAGCAGCAGCAGCAGGAGGAGGACGATCTGTGGACAGAAGAAGAGGAGGACTCTCCCCCCGCAGCAGCAGCATCAGGAGCAGCAGCCGAAGCAGCAGCAGCAGCAGGAGAAGCTGCAGCAGCAGCAGCAGCAAGAATGCGTGCAGATGAGCTAACAGTGCAGCAAAAGGAGAGAATAATAAAAAGGAGACTGCAGCACCAAAGACAGCTGCTGCTGCTGCCCCCACTAAAAACAAAAAAAGAAAAAGCAGCAGCAACGTTCTTCGTTAAGGAAAGCAGACGCATAGCTGATGCGTTCCAACACATCACTGATGAGTAAGAAATAAAACACACACGATCCCAACACCCCACACACGATCCCAACACCCCACACACACGATCCCAACACCCCACACACCACCCCACACACGATCCCAGCACCCCACACACCACCCCACACACGATCCCAACACCCCACACACGATCCCAACACCCCACACACCACCCCACACACCACCCCACACACGATCCCAACACCCCACACAACACCCCACACACGATCCCAACACCCCACACACGGTCCCAGAGGAGACGATCCCACACACACGATCCCACACACACCATCCCAGGGAGACGACCCCACACACGATCCCAGAGGAGACGATCCCAGGGAGACGATCCCAGGGAGAGGAGATATGTTGTTGTTGGTGGTGTTGTTTTGTGTCTCCCTTTTTGTCTCCTTTTTGTCTCCTTTTTGTCTCCTTTTTGTCTCCTTTTTGTCTCCTTTTTGTCTCCTTTTTGTTTCTTTTTTGTTTCTTTTTTGTTGTTTAGTGTCTCTGTTTCCCTGCTGAGTTAATTGTTTTTGTTGTCTTTTTTATTTTATTTTTTATTGTTTTTGTCTTTCTTTCTTTGTTTTATTTTTTATTGTTTTTATTTCTCTTTTCTTTGTTTTATTTTTTATTGTTTTTGTTTGTGTCCTGCATACATGAACAACCTCCTTTTTGTTTCTCTCTGCTGCTGCTGCTGCTGCTGCCGCCACCGCTGCTGCTGCTGCTGCTGCTTTCGCCACCGCTGCTGCTGCTGCTGCTGCTGCTGCTGCTGCTGCTGGTGCTGGTGCTGCAGGATGGAGCAGGCTAGCATTGGTGTGTATGGTGAGCTGCGTGCAATAGAGGAGGAGCGAGGTGTCTCCTTTTTTTATAAAGAAAGAAAGTGTCTCCTTTTGCGGAGAAAACTCAGAGAAATACAGCTCCCATATAAAAGGAGACAGTTGCCCCTTATCTATAGAGCTCATCTACTCATGGGTACGCTGCTGCTGCTGCTGCTGCTGCTGCTGCGGATGCTGCTGCTGCTGCTGCTGCTGCTGCTGCTGATGCTGCTGATGATGACGATGGTGATGCTGCTGCTGCTGATGATGATGATGATGATGATGGTGGTGCTGCTTCTGTTGCTGCTGATGATGATGATGCTGCTGTTGCTACTGCTGCTGATGCTGCTGCTGCTGCTGCTGCTGCTGCTGATGATGGTGATGGTGATGATGATGATGGTGATGATGATGATGATGGTGGTGCGGGTGGTGGTGGTGGTGGTGATTGTGCTGTTGCTGCTGCTGCTGCTGTTGCTGCTGCTGCTGCTGTTGCTGCTGCTGCTGCTGTTGCTGTTGTTAGTTGTGTAGCACTAAGAAGCATCTGCCGATCGCCCTTCTTCGTGCGTATCTTCTAAATCAGGGTTTAGGGTTTAGGGTTTAGGGTTTAGGGTTTAGGGTTTGTGTGTATAGGTTTACCTGGCCCCCCGTCTTACTGCTGCAGCAACCCGCTGCTAGCAGGAGACAGCGAGGAGACAGCTGAGGCCCCGGGGGGTTTTGTGTCTCCTTCTGTCCCCGCCAGCAGCAGCTGGTTCTCCCCCCACTGCAACTTTTCTTTATTACCTTTCTACTCTACAACACACCAGCAGCAGCAGCAGCAGC